CTCTGTCCAAGCATGTCCCAGACATGCTCGATGGGGGAGAGGTCGGGACTCAGTGCTGGCCAAGGTAATGTGGTGATGTTCTGTTGTTGGAGGTAACCTGTAACGATCCTGGCCCTGCGACATCTTGCGTTGTCATCCTGGAAGATGAAACGGCAGCCATGACGTCGTGCGAACGGCACAACATGGACTGCCAAGATGTTGTCCCGGTAGTACTGGCCTGTAACACGCCCTGCAAAAACATGTAAAGCCGTTCTTCCAGCAACAGTGATGCCTCCCCACACCATAACAGAACCACCCCCAAATCGATCATGTCTGATGACGTTAACGTCTTGGAAGCGCTCGTTTCGACGACGCCACACCCTCCTACGTCCGTCCAAAAAATCAACAGTGAACCTTGACTCATCTGAAAACATCACATTGCTCCAGCGTCGATTATCCCAGTGTTGACGATCCCTACACCAACGACGTCTTGGCTGAATGTGATGATCTCTCAAACAAGGGATCACGCGAGGACGTCGGGCGCGAAGGTGACCCCTATGCAGTCGATTCCGAATCGTCTGGCCACTCACTCTCACACCAGTGTCTGTTTGAAGACGAGCGCTGATCTGATTTGCTGTGATGACACGATTTCTCAAGGCCAAGGTACGGATAAATAGATCCTGGGCTTGAGTTGTCGCCCTTGGTCGACCTGAGCGTGGTCTGTCCTGTACAGATTGTGTATCACGGTATCTGGACCATAGCCTGCTTATGACAGACTGAGAAACATTCATCGTCCGCGCCACAACCGCCTGTGTTGTGCCGATCTGTAGCATGCCAAGGGCACGTAACCTTTCATTTTGGGTAAGCCGACGCATATCAAAATTTGTTTTCTGGTCACTAAAACAATTAAACTGATGTTTCCACCCTGGAATTCAATGCCACAATGACTGTAACATTCAAAGTCAGAGTCGTGCAAATCTTGGGTTGGACCCCCATGATGATCCCAAGCATCACCTGCATTCCATGCGGTAGCTATTGGTGCGTTTGGGCGTCACATGTAACTGGAAATGTTTCTTCTGTTAGGTTCTATAGTGACTTTTTTCGTAGTCATTTGCATATTTTAGTATTATGCCCCCAAAATCAAATATCCCCTACTTTTTTTGAATAGTATAATAAGGAAAAATATACTGGTAACGAAAAATACTGTCAATATCGACAATCAATTTGCTTGTCGACTACAATAAGTTATAACAGTCATACCTTAATGAGAATCGGCCATCCGGTTCATAATCCAAGTAATTAGCACATTTAACGGTAATTTTGATAATTCGGCAAAACAAACAAAACAAGCTTGCTGGTTATTCATAACAGATCCAGTAAGTTTCCTTTGTAATAATAAACCACGTGGCGAAGGAAGACATCTCGCTCCGCATGGATTGTAAATCTCGTGCTTCGCGCACCGTCTTCGACTCTCGATCTGTACGAATTCTAGGTAGATATGAAAATAATAATTGGATAATGCATTTTATGGTTTCACTGACCTGTTGTTAGTTAAATTTAAATATTCATTGAATAATCCCTGATAGAACACCGGATATCCCGAGAAACAGATATATTTTTCCATCAAGATCTTCAATGCTTTCAGATTCCCGATAACACGTAATCAAAACAACTAAAGTGTCATTGGATAGCCCAAACAATGGACGATCGTATGACATCTAAATGGTAAAAATTCGCTGGTTAGGCAATATATAATGGGACGCTGAAAAGCTAGTATTTTCATTTTGGGGAGCTATTCAGATGCTTTCATCCCGAAAACTTCTCTTATTTCCTTTCTTAAACTTCTGTTACTTAGAGTCCTAATGGTGGTCTAGGGTGTGAATCCAAATTTAAAAGCCTCAATATTGTATAAATGGTCTAAAAAGGGTCAAAATCTATGAAAAAAGTCGAAAAATCGTTATATTTGTTTAAATCTAATGTACTTCTAATTATCGTTAAATATCTTCTAATTTTCCTTTCTTTTAAAAACTGTAAAACCGATCGTTCTGAAAATTATGTTACGGCAAGACAATGATCTGTAAACCGGGAGTAGTCGAAAAAATATTCGATATTTTGAGAAAATATAGTAAAAAATCGCGATTTCTCAGCTGGGTGTCACTGAATCAAAACAACTAAAGTATCGTTTGGTAGCAAGTTGAATGGGCTATTATATGACACACTTACTGTCTGATTCCTGAAAGCTGGTTCAGTGCTGCTTTCAGGTCTAGTTTTACATATATTTTCCTTCCAGAAAAATAACTGATGAATACTCTGTTCCGAAATACGTACTTCAGAATCCCAACTAGAATCCCATTTAAAATATCAATAGACAATGATCGTGTCATGATTATTTCTGGTTTTGGCAATCAACTACATACATGTACATTATTGTGGACAATGGAAATATTGCCTGTATTTAATGTATTAAACGGACCAGGGTTTTGTTATATGCAACCGACAATTAGCAAAGTTTTAATTACCAGCAATAGATGGATATTTATACCATAACACAAGATAGGATGTAAGATCACATATAAGGCATGTTGATTGTTCCATTTGAGAGGCAAAATATTATTAATTTTAATCGTGGATGTTGTTCAGTAATATTTTACGTTCACATGTAAGATCAGAACAATCAGACATATATTTATATATATTTGGGTACGTATCTATAATGAGATATGGCTTCATATTAGAGATTACTTTAAATATGGGATTAATACATTTTACACTCCTATAAGTTAGATAAATGGAATAATGAAAATGTGACAAACAAATATACACTGAGAACTGCTAAAGGGTGAATCTGTGAACAGCCATCATATAAATCTCAGTCATGGTTGCTATTTGTACGTGTATCGAAAGAAAATTAATTTTCCGACTATTACCGCGTTAAAACTGTAAATAAGGTGTGGTAATTAACAAGGGTGAAAAACTGTCTGAGAGGTGAATTAATAAACGCTAGGGGTGAAAAACTGTGTGACAGTGCGTTTTCAGTAGAGGTGTGTTAATTACCTGACCGGTAAAAAATCCAAGTATAGTCGTTGGAATAGAAAACATGTCTCCAAAAATGATTATGTGTCATATTGGGCGTATGTGTTTCTTTGATATGTTAGATCACGGGACAATTCTGTAATTGCATAAAAGCGGCTATTATAAATTACAAGTTCTGTCATTTGTGTGGAAATTACCACTGTTCGGTTGGTTGTGCCGTATTATTTGTCAATAAGGAGATTTCTGTTTCATGGATATTGCTATTGAAGGTAAGATGCACAATTTACGCATCGTGGCACGTTTTTATAAATTTAATAAATGTCAAACAGTGAGTGCACGTCTTTTTTAGTAATAAAGCAGAAATATATTTCGGTTGTTTTTGCCGAATTTACTCTCTATATTCCCGTGGATATTCAAATTGGGCGCTGACTGCTGGGTATTTATAAATGACGACATTACATTCGCCTTTCCGTAAACGATAGATTAATGTCCATATTTTTATTTCATTAAATGCAACTTATGGTCCGCAATACAAAAGACACAAATGAGAAACGTAGATCATAGCGAGCACACACGCCTATCTAAAGTCCTGTCTTTAATTATACAAAGACCTGCATAAAACACACGGTCGAATGATAAATCGCACAGTAAAACGGTTTTACTTCCATTTTGATTTAACACGTACGTGTCAGATAAAGCCTGTTGGTCCTTGATTCTACTCCTTTTGGTGCAGTTATCGCAACACGCCAATTAAACAATACACAACATTGACATTCATTTTTTACCGGTCGGTTAATTAACACACCTCTACTGGAAACTGTCACACAGTTTTTCACCCCTAGCATTAATTAATTCACCTCTCAGACAGTTTATTACGCTGGAATACCAAGTAATAGTCGGAAAATTAATTTTCTTTCGATACATGTACAAATAGCAACCATGCCTGAGATTTATATGATGGCTGTGCACAGATTCACCATTTAGCAGTTCTCAGTGATATTACATGACAATAAAGAAAACATCAGAATAGTATTTACAATCATAATTACAAACCAATTCATAATTATATCAAGGTATGAGTTTACATCTCCAACAGTTATATTACTTACTTTTTTTATTTCAAGTTTTGGAATCGAGTAATAAAACTGACGGAGAGTAACTCTGGTCCTCAACATGTTTACCGTATTGTCTAAAGAAGCAATTTTTTTATCTAAACATGGTCTTAGATGTGGCCTATTGACTTGTGCTGACATACGTGCAGGTACAGAAATATCCTCATAATCGTTAGCAAAAGAAGTATCTGGTAAAGGATATTGTATATTATGCCTTTGTTCTTTTAATTGTGCTGTATTTTGGGATGCACGTTCTGCTGTCCAAACCGCAATCTTTTTTATTATAATTTGATGAAGGAGTTAATTCATTTAACGCATGTACTGGTACAATAACCAATCGATGCTATCTACAGATATCTTACTGATAGTCGAAGATGGAGTTGTATCTGTAAAGTTGTCGTCAATAACTGGTGTATCGTTAATCATTGGTGCTGTATTGGTCACTATGTGAATAGCAGTCAAAGATGGATCTGAATCTGTACATATGTCCCTCATAACTGGCGATTGAGCTGGCGGCAAATCGACTGGCAACCAAGTATCATTCTTCATTGCAGATGCGTCTGAATCGCTAATAACTGACGATGGAACAGGTGGCATATGGACTAACAATGGGGTATTTTTAATCGTTGGCGATGTATCTGTCAACATGTCAATAGCAGTGGAAGATGGAGCTGTATCTGTAAATATGTCGCTAATAACGTTTGACACAGGTCCGCGATTAGAAGGTGTGTATTCAGGTGTGTGTCCTTGATATACACCATATACAAACGCACACTGTACACACAGACAGGGGCGACGACAATACGTCCACATTAAGAATGTGGACGTATAAAAATGTTTAAAATATACAAAATAATGAAATTTTTTTCATGATACCTTTTTTAAAGTTTAAGTCACCATCTTCAGATGATGTGAAGGTTTCTATGGAAAGAAACAATTTCTGACCACTTTTAATTTGGGGAACATTAATTTTTTCTACAAAATTTGTGGGAAAGCTTCCTTCTTTGCCATCTAGTTTTCCACAAACCCAGTTATCATCAACAACATTAGTTACTAGAATTATCTGCCCTGTTTTGATACAGATCTCACCCGCCTGACTTGTTTCAAAGTCAAAAACTGCCTTTACATAATTCCCAGGAATAATATCCATCTGCAAAAAAAAAGGAGAAAAATATATAATTATTACAATGCATGTTTATGTATACAGAAAATTTTGTTACAGTTATGTGAACAAGTGAGAAGTGTAAAAATGTAGTGCTTCAATGTCTCTTCATCCAGGCTCTTATTGGTAATTCAAAATTTTGTCATCAGTCATCTGATTCTTGAAAACTCTGTAGGACTAGTTTCAGAAATATATGGCTCCCAAAATAATAGATTTGTCAAAGTAACAACTTTAATATTTTTTTATACAACACAATCACACACTAATACATTAATTACAAATATCTAGTACATAGTAAAGTGTATTGTTGACCTAGACATCATAAAACTGAAAAGATTTCAACATGAGAAAGTAAAGAATTATCAAAATCGACCCAAAACTTGTTAAGAGATATTACCGTAAGGCAAGCACCGATATTTTTTTTATTTTGGCTGTCTAATATAATAGGTATTGTGCCATAATTTTGCAAATAACTGATTGCAATAAAACTTTCAAAATAACCAAAAGTCATAATTAAGAATAAGTCTGCGAGAACTATGTGATGAATTTTGGACATGTATAAACCACAAACCCATGTGTTCAGTTGGTAGACCTCAGAACTCAATATGTTCAGTTCCTGAGAAATCGATTTTTCAGAGGGCACCTTATAGGCAATTTCCTGGCTCATTTTGTTTTCTGATTCGGTTTGTTACATAATTCTCATCGGTCGGCTTTTCAGGTAGAAATCGTGGAAAAAGCTTTATTATGAAGGTTTTCATGTTTAATGACAAAAAAAAACAACAACCAATGTTGACATTTTTTATGAGAAGGTTTCCATAGTATAGGAGGCCATTATTTGAAGAGTAACCATTTTGCAATAATATTCCAACTTATTTTTTATTTTCACCTTATTTATAATGTTTTCGACATATAAACTGTGATTTGGCAATGTATTAATATTGGCAGAGGTCATGACTATATTTTAGATTTTTTCCATCACTTTAAAAAGATATTTCCATGGATAGCGACCATTTTTGGCGGGAAAATCGATGTTTTAGTTTTGATTAAGTAGTAGTGTTTGGTGTTAATATATGTGTTTTGAGGGGCACAGATTCCATTTCTGCAAGTTTCAACTGTGTTATATGATCATATGTTCACCTTTTTTGCATATTTCAAAGATGGCATTCATCTTTGGTGGGTAAAATGGGACGATGTGCTGATAATGTTTAAGTAGTCGTCTTTGGTGTCAATATATGTTTTGGGGGCACAGATTCCATTTCTGCCAGTTACAATTGTGTAAAATAATCACATGTTCTCCTATTTAGCATATTGTTGTAAATGAGGGTTTTTATAGAGGTCACGTGATTAGCGTGACGTAATTGATGTTAAATGAGTCATTTATCATACAGCTACCAAACTATCAACACGTCGCTACTACAGCTTGTCTACTTGAGTGTTTGGTGGTTCAACATAGTAAGTCATGAAATATTACATTGGCGTCGGCATAAATTCACTTGTCTACGACTACGATTGAATATCGGTTTATCAACTGAAGAAAGTGCTGATTCAGCAATTTCAAGTAGGTCGAGTCAATCAGGTGTGTTGTAAATTTCACGCTTTCAGAGATTTCTGAAGGTCCAACAAGAAGAAAGAAGAGATAATATTAAAGATTACAGCATAAATCCATTATTACAGATAATTACAGTATTATTCTTTGTTTCACGTAAACGAAGAAAAGTGGTCATGTGAGTTGTCATTCACGACAGCTTTACACTTTACTATAGGCGGTCACAGCTGCCAAAAATTACAACTTCTAATTAATCTAAGTCTGTGTATTTATTCCCGCTAATTATTTTAATTTGCTTTTCTAATGGAACTCGGGCCAAATTTTCCGAATCTGGCATTATTTTTGGTCTACGCCTAAACCCTGGGTCTGTAACTTGTACTGAATTTGGTATAAAAACGACTGAAAATCGAAACTTTGTGACGCGTTCACAGCCAAACTACGAGTGCGGCTAATGTCATCTCTGGATATTCTGGAGCTCTTGGACAGGTCTTATGGTCAAACAAAAAAAATTAGGTTCTCCGGTCCCGGGTTCGCAGAAATTTTCGCACCTGAAAATTGAAAATATCGAAAATTTCACATTTTCACACTCAAATTTCGAAAAGTGGGGTCACATAGATTTCGACGAAAATCGCATGGTAGTAAGAACCATCCAAGTTAAAATAAGTCTATTGGCTTTTGAACCTGCCTAATTCGTTGCTTGAACTTAGCCAATTTGCGGTTGGATGTGACTCAATTTTCCAACATAGAGCTCTTCTGGGCGCCATAACTTCGCGAAAAATTATTCGACGGGCCTGTAATTTGGCATATGGTCATCTCAATGGATCCATAACAAAATATAAAAAAATTGGAAAAATTCGCAGGGGTCGGGTTAAAACCTTGCATCAGTTGATATGGAATGACCCACATTCCCGTTTTACTTTTTAATTTATTACCATTTCAAAAGTTGTAACTATTTTAACCATTACATTTTTAACCATCGTTAACTTTGTATCTAAACTGAAAGTCTCGATGGTGCCACCAAGTCATAAAACCAGACTTAGTCCAAATACTACAACATGATCTACCAATTGCAAGTAAATATGCTATTTTCTTGGAAAATCTATATCAGCTTAGTGGTCAACTCGGATGAGGAATTTTCATCGTTGGATATTATACCTAAACACTGGTTAAAACACTACATTGTCCCATTTTCACGCCACAAATGGCAGCCATATTAGAAATATGCTAAATATTTAAAAATGTGATTATTTTACACAGTTTTAAACAGCAGAAAAAGAATCTGCATCCCGAAAACATATATATTGACACCAAAGACAACTACTTTATCTATATCAGCACATCGTCCAATCTTCCTGCCAAAAATGGCTGCCATCTTGGAAATATTGTAATATTTTGTGACTTACTATGTTGAACCACCAAACACTAAAGTAGACAAGCTGTAGTAGCGACGTGTTGATAGTTTGGTAGCTGTATAACCAGTGACTCATTTAACATCAGTTATGTCACACTAATCATTGTGACCTCTATAAAAACCCTCATTTACAACATTCCTCCCCGTTTTGTTGGCACTTGGTCACAATAAGGGTACAGGAAGCTCATACAGGGACCAAACATTTTGTTAAAATCAGTATGTACAATAAAAGTGAAAGCTATCTACACAGTAAAATCATTAAAACTTCTGGTGAAGATTTCAGGTCAGAGTAAAAACATCCTGCAACGCCTTGCCCAAGGAATGAATCAGCTGGAACCAATTCATCAACTGTAAGCCTGTTATCTTCCAGAACATCATTGATTCCAGGTGAATAGAATCCAGGCAGGGGGAAACAACACCAGTTTCTAGATCTTGAAATGAAGGTCTGTGTCGCTCCAACCATAATTGAAAGTCGTTCAAGTCTTGTTTGATCTGATCACAGTGGATAACTATTTGTTGTTTTCTGGCATCCAATCGATACAATGTGAGGTTTGCAGCAATACCATTTAAATAATGCATATAAATTTCAGAAAGATCGGATGATAACTTTTGGAGTTAGAGCGTTCACAAGGTTCAATAAAGTGAAACAAGGGCCATTAGACGTAATAAACAGAAATTGTTGAAATTCAATAGGCTTCTTCATTTCACTAGATTAAATATTGCATATAAATTTCACAAATATTGTATGTTAACTTTTGTCATTAGAGCGTTCACAAGGTTAAAAAAAGCGAAACAAGGGCCATAACTCTAGACGTAATAAACAGAAATTATTGAAATTAAATAGGCTTCTCTTTATCTCATTAATGTAAACAACGTATATCAATTTTAAAACAATTGGATGATAACTTTTGGCGTTAGAGCGTTCACAAGAAATTGTGGACGATGGACGGAGGACGGACCAACAGACGGTAGGGTGACCCACTATAAATAAATATCTCCAAATATCTCGACAATTACGCCACAATATTTATATACATACCAAGCCTTAAATCAGTTTCACACAATTATAGTCACTAAATAAACGATCATGTTGTACTTAATAAGCTATGACCATTTAATGATCTATAAATAATAGACTGAAACTGGTTCCAAGTTTCGTCCATAACATCCAGACACTTTTGTGTAAAAGATAGGTTATGTGCCCTTGTTTTGAAATTAGTCTCGCTTAACCAGTGTACTGACCATTCTACGTCTGATTGACAGGTCGGGATAATCAAGACTACCTTTTTACGAAACATAACAGAAAGCTGGAACAAGAAATTGAATTTAGAAAAACTCACATTAGCTAGCTCAACAATTGTTTTAAGAAGCTTGTAAAAGTAAAATGAAACTACTGCTAGTATCATGTTCCTACTAACAAAAGTGATTCAGAGATATTATTTGTACTAATCCAAAAGATGCCGCTCTTAACGGTACAGTTAATGATAAAGCGATTTAAAAAATAAAATGAACGTAATTTCTAAATCTGCTGTAATAACCAAGAAGCTTAATTTTACTGCTATTCAAAATCGTCAACAATAAATTTTTTACGGCTGTAATAGTTGATAGATTTGTAGAGAATTGCACGTGCCATGGCTATTTATAGTATCATACTGTCAGAAAGTTGGTCTCGACACGGCGAATATGCATACTTCAGTGGTAGTCTCGAACTATCAGCAGTGGACTGTATTTCTGTAGAGTGCATGGGTCACCCTACAGACGGACGTACAGGGGCGACGGCAATATACATCCACATTTCAATGTGGGCGTATAAAAAGGAGATCTCTGCCACTTTGTTAGCTTGGGGTACCAATCCTTTGGTTGCAGGTTGCAGGTCTTTGTGACATGACATTATCAGGTTCTTGCTTGGTGATGTTGGGTATGTCATTGATTCGTCCTACAAGACTGAACAGCGTATGAAATTGCCACCTCCTGAGGAGGATCCTTATCTTGGTATTGCTGCAAACCTCACATTGTATCGATTGGATGCCA